TGGACAAGTTCATGTCTAACCTTGCAAAAAACTGTACATTGAAAGACAAAGGCTACACTAACTACAGCCTTCGAGCATCTGGAGTAACAACCTTGAAACGCAACGACTATAATGATAAGCAAATCATGTCCGTCACCGGCCACAGAAGCAGTGCAAGTTTGAACATATATCAGAAAGTTGCATCAGATGAAAAACTTAGAATGGGTTTAACACTTGGCTATGCACTTACTGGAGATCCTAGCTGTCTGACGAAAGAAAACGAGGTAGCCTGTGTTTACCAGCAGCATCCTCATGACAACCACCCCAAACAATCATCCAATGCAACCCACCTTTCTTTCCGTAGGCCTACCACTGGCACTGGAAACCAAATTGTGCCTCTTCACAAGCGACAAGCTCCCCGTTTCACAGAAACTGCAACAATTACCAAACGACCATGTCTGCACAATCTCCAGAGAGCAAACTCTTCAAGTTCTGTAACAGCTAAGCAGTCTTCAACATATGATGACTCGATGTTCGAAGAAAACAATGCAGTTAGCGATGCAGAGTTGCTGAAAGCAGTAAATGAGTATGAAGAAGCTACAATATCAGAGAATGTTCAATTCATGCAGTCATCTCAGACTGACTCAAAGAAAATACAGTGCATTTCCAGGCAAATATTGAAGAAGATGAGCCCACCTACAATCAGTAATTGCAAAATTGAAGGTGGAATTATTATTAACATTCATAAAGATTGACAACTTGACTGCAGTAGTGACTGGTGTTGAATGTTGAAAATGACATTTTTGCAGTAAAACATTTTAATATTTATGATCTTAATACTGTTATATAATAACATGACTGTTGATATGATATTTTATTAATGCTAATTTAATTAACTTCTAATAGTTGTATAATTGAATAATGTTGTTGCTTATGTTGATGTATCATTTCATTAATGTTAATTTAATATGAATATTTCATTATTGTTGCTCTTCTAAGATATTGCATGTTATGATACTGATAAATTATTAATTATATTTATACAAATGGTGGGTGATGCCAATAATTTTCTATATCTAAAAAATGCATGGTGCCACCTTAAGTAAAAAATAACAATAACAAATATGGCGGACAAGATTTAGCCGATAAACCTAAACTTTAAAGAACTTTTTTCGGTGACTAACCTACTGAGACTGAAGAAAAACCAAAGAAAATAATGCAATAAAGGTAATCTAGAAGTAGATAAAGAAGTATGAAGAGCCCAGTGGTTTTTTTGGCCGGGAAAATGTTGACAAAACATCGACGAATATATCGCGAAGAGCTAGTAGCTACAAATGTGTGTATGGAATAAAAACCAAACGTACTTGCAGGTTCGGTGAGTCCGGGATTGGACGCACCTCGGGTGGCTGGAAGTTTCCCGAACTCACCTCGCTTCGCTCGGTGAGTTCGGGAAACTTCCAGCCACCCTCGGTGCGTCCAATCCCGGACTCACCTCCCTGCAAGTACGTTTGTTATAAAACATAATATCGCCACAGCACAAAGCTTACTTAGCATTTACTTAACCTTATCGACTTCGTGTCATTGTCGTTACACGTGTTCATGAATCTTTTATGAGTTTATTCTAATATATATTCAAATTTCAAAATGTTTTGCTGCTTTTGTGGCCAACAGTTGCAGGAGAATATAAAATTTTGTCCAAACTATGGAATTAAAGGTAATGTTATTGTCCATAATATGTTTTAATTTGCAAAAAACCCGAATAATTTGCTAGATTGTTGATGTCTCGATCAATTCCATGTTCATCCTTATCGGCGTATCGTCCGGGATTTTTGAGGCATTTGCCGTCTGCACATGTTCCTAGGGTCGTGCATTTGCTTACTAGAAGTCGTCCCCCGGGGACGGGAATTTTGTTCCAGTTTAAAACGCGCATGTTTTATCGTGGTCAATTATAATGTCATAATTTAATGATATTACTGAATGATATCTGAAAGCATAGCCTTAGGCCTACATGTAATTGTTTACTTACAATTTCATAATATTCTAGTTTCCATAATTTGTCTCATTGAATGAAATTGGAATACGTATTTTGTGATTTAATTTTGTAATATGTAATGACTAACCAGGGCCTTTCAGAGGGGGGGGGGGCACTGGGGGCAATTTGCTCCAGGCCCCAGTTTAAGG